TGAACTTTTTATTGATATACCGGGAAGAATAGTCGCGAGTGAATACTTCCTTAAACCGGTGCCAAATCTTAAAGCAACTGCTGCCAACATAAGCTTACTGTTGGTTAATAACCATTTTAGTGTTACGCGTCCACGTCCTTTACCTCCAAGCTACATCGATGTCGGTGGAATACATCTGGGGGTACCAAAAACGCTGCCTTTGGTAAGTCTCGTTTGTATATAGACTGTTACTATTAATGCCATCACGAATTATGCAGTTTCTTTAGGCTTTAATGCACATAATTGTTGTAATAAAAATCGACGTGATCAGAAGAACAAAACACCAATTACTATTTTCCATCTATTCCACTTAAAAATGACAGTTTTACAGTTACATGAAAAAGTTAAACACGTGGTTATTAGACTAATAATATCATTCACGTTTTAAGTGTTCGTGTAATTACGATATATAATTGGATCATCTAATTACACTTGTCACACTTGAAGTAATTCGTAAACCATTCCGCTGTGACCAGTTATGTGCGAAAACAAAACATGGATACCTTCGAAGGCTAATATTTCCTGCCCGCAAGCCCTTCAAAGGATAGATTTTGGCTCTTGTCATAAATGTAGAAATCACCCACTCCTTACAAATCCAAAAGGAATGCATCTCTATTCCAAATAATCTTAAATTTTAGTATCATTGAATGATTTCGATAAGATGAATGGCATGGAAAGATTATGACCAAAAAATCCCATTTGAAATTTTTGAAAAGTCTTTGAAAATAACCGAGATATCACTGAAAAACTGAAAATGTCAAATTTCGTTTTCATTTTCCATAGCTTAAACGGTCGGAAATGGACGGTTCTCGTTAGCGTCTTTTACGGGCCTTTTTTCCGAGAATCTGAATCTCTTATCAGAATATCCATAACACGATAGATATAGAAGCTACATGCTACTGCTTTCGTCTTTCTTATGGACGCCATGTTGGATTTGAACGGAATGAGATCGAGAACAAAAATAAAATTCATTTGAATGCATCACCTCTTAACCATGTTGATTCAGAAAGATCACGTGGAAATGAATGCAAAACACCTGATTTCGAATGTGAATGCTTTGGCCCCATTTAAGATACACTGTTTCTCTCAGCATTAGCGAAATCCCAATGGTCAGCCACGAAATTGAACCAACCTGTCCAACATCTAAAATTGATTAAGTAATTGATCAAGTAAAGCATGTAGAAATCCACTCAAAAGTCTAATCGATGAATACTCAGAGTTAATAGAAGTTTTAACAGCAAACAGCATTGAAAGTAATAGTAGAGTAGTTGACGGATTTAGCCCCTCAAAAAATTCCTGGCAGGCCGAATTTTTCAGAATTGAATAATATATGGTCCTTAGCTCAAAACCACATTAACTTATACCGAAAATGTACCCTAGCCCTAGCTGTGCCCCCTTCTACATTATGTCCGCTCCTAATGAAGCTTGAGGCACGATCCGGACATTGTTACAAAGTATTTTTAATACAGATATAATAAGCTACCAAACGTTAAAAGGAGAGAGATTGGCAAACACAGTAGTCGTGCCCTGGTAATCCTGGAACGTAAAAAAATTAAAGTAATACAGTATGGTTCCATTATTTTACGCACAATTATTAATCCTCCTGCGTGTGCCCCCGTCCACCCGCGTTGCGCTCGGGCCTGGTGCGACCTGGAGAACAAGAAAGTGTTGCTCAAGGGAACATCCATTTCTCTTGGTTGTGTGGTTGCTCCTGGTCATCTTGCACATTCCCCTGCAGGTCTTCCTCGTTGGGTGCGATATTTCTGTTCAAACCGCAGTTGGTCCTCGCGACACTGCTCGCACATACTGGAAAACTTTATGCCGTGCTTCCTACAGGAACAAGTACTCCTGGAGCAGTCCGTGGTGCAGTTGCAACTTACATATTTCCTTCATTATGATCCCTAGGGTGGGTAGACGTGTCATACTTTGGTAGGAGTGTATTGTTTTCGCTGTTGTGGAACCCATATGAGGTAGTGGATAACGTTCTCTGGAGCTTTTAATGGTCAAGGAAAAATTGTTCACCCACTTTTTTAATTCGTACTTGACTATGTCGCTCTTATTAAAAAACAATGCCATATTTTGACTCCATTTCATAAAAGGGCCTTCTTCATCCTATGACGTATGGAGCCGACGTTGTGTCACATCCTGTCATGGTATGGAGAAAGAGCAGTCCACATGCTACCGCCGAGCCGAGCGTTTCTTGCAAAGTTTTTATGTCAAAAAATTTTGCTGCTTTGTTGCCTGCCTGAGAAACGAGCTTAATTTCACGCCTCGCTTCTGATCGAGCGTAAAGAACTAGGATATCAGTGTCGTCTGCAATAACAATTACTGGGTCAGTTGCGATTTCCCTTGACTTACAACTTTTGACGGTAACTAATGTAATACTCACCACATCGCGTACTGTTTAATTTATGTCTTCAGCATGGCCTGACGATGGGCAAATTAAAACGCCCGAATGGATCGCCCTATTAGAAAAGAAAAAATGAATGAATTTGCCTGCACTTCCCTTTATCTACCTAAAGTACCTACTCTCTCGAGTTCTTCATTGAAAATGACTCTATCAAGTTGTCAAGAAATACTTTGTCGTAGGCGCCAACAGATAAAATCCCTATCTGAAACCAGCATTTACAAGCCCATTGCAATTAAACACGCCCGCTGTACCAACGTCTCCTCAAGAAGTGCCATTAGCAAGAATCATCCCCGGGTTAATTGCAAAGTGAGGTTCCCTACCAGATTCATCGATTTTACTACCGATACGCGGGATGAGGAGTACTGTGACGACCGAGTTCCATCTCGCCACCGACTGACAAAACTCAACAACTGATTGGTTAACGCAATTCACCACTAGCGATTGATTCCGACCATTTAAATCATTTGAATGCCTACGAAATGTTATCCTGCGGCTTGGAAGGCGGCTGACTTGATTCAAATTAGGAAACCGGGCAAAGAGCTCAATTTCCCACTGGAACGTGTCATTCTGGATCGTCTACAGACGGAAGTGGAAAGCCGCAGCATCCTCCCCGATCAGCAATTTGGTTTTAGGGCACTGCACAGCACTACCCAGCAGAAGCACATCACGGAGGGTTTCTCTCGGAAGCAACACACCGGAGGTCTATTCCTAGACATCCCCAAAGCCTTCGATACGGGCTTCTATTCAAACTCATGGATAGGGGCGTCTCAAATGGTGCAAATGATTGTCTCGTTCCTTCAGAATCAAGCTCTCAATGTGTAAATCTGAACCAAGACTGATCACCGCCGGCGTTCCGCAAGGTTCTGTGTTGTTGCCGATACTCTTTAATGTTATTATTATTATTCTTTAATGTCTACGTTTCCGATCTACCCCAGACCGAAGGAACATTGATGGCTGCCTATGCGGACGTCATCGCCGTATTGGCCCGCTCGAAAATCCCCCATGGTGGAACTTCTGCTCCAGAAAGCCGCCAATGAGCTGAAAACGTGGTACACGACATAGCGCATCGAGATTAACCCAGATAAAAGCTCGGTGTACCCCTTCACACAAGATGGAACGACCAGTGGAAAATGTGACCGACCTCAGTTAAGTATCTGGGGTTGATCTTAGATCGCAAACTACTCTGGAGGAAATACATCGGCGAAAAGAGGAAACTGAGTAGGTGCGGATATAGACCCCCCCCCCTCCCCGATAATCCAAAATCGATTCCTACGCTTACCGGTCAACCTGTGACTACGACAGCGCAACGGTGTGAAGGCACAAACGGCCCAAGCACTCATTGCAGAACTAACACAAAATCAAAACACAGACGGAAAGACGGACACGTCTTCTGTCCTTTGCGATGAAGATACAGACGGTCGAAGATCAGTGGTATTAAAAATTATCTAATGAAAGTTTCGCAAATTACTCCAGCAAACTTTAAGACAGTAAGTACAACGACCTACAAGCACTACGCTTTTCGATCAAATCAAATTCTAATTTTTGGGCTTTTTGTAACTGTTCATCCTTAGGCGTGCTACCTATTTCTCTGGCGGTAAGTGCACGCTGAAGTGGTTCAGTCACGATGATATAGCCCTTCCACGGCGATAAGATCCTTAGGGTGGACAGGCAGAGTGCACTACCTCGCTAATTTGTCTTCTCCTCTCTACTGAGTTCGTCCTCCATGTCCGCAGCTTCACCGCAGTAAAAACACACTAAGGACCCCTGCAAAATTCAGATTGCCAAGAATGTTGTTGGAGTCCTTACGGACATCGAGCTTTCGGCTACTATTTACTACTACTCTTAAATTTACCTACACCTACACCTTATTTTGATATATTTCCCTCCTTAAATGGGACAATTCCCTAGAACCGAATCTTCTAAATGGAGATTTGATTTGGAAACAATTTGATTGCTCAAACCTTTTGAGGAGTAAATTTTTTTTGGTGTTTTCGTTAATGACTGGTTGCAACTCTTTAGTCTATCAACCAGTGGACGGTGGACGAGGCTGTTTTTCATTGTTTTGGACATGGTAGATTTCTGGGAACTCTTTTTCAGAAGAGTGGTTGCATTTCTTAAAAACAAAAATGCGGCATTACAAGCGGTTTTCCGCACTTGGAAGTCGTAGAAATCTCGTTAATGTCTCGTTTAATGGATACAGGTTCCCAATTAGTGCAATAACAAGAAATGTTTTTCCCAATCACTTAATTTGGTGAAAATTTTCAGTTAATTACCAATCCGGGGAGAAACGGCGGATTATATTGATTTGTTTCACATGAACTAGATTTTGCAATCTGCCTGTCATAATACATTTTTGGTTAATTAGTAGAGCGAAATCTATTTTTATTCCGAAAATTTCATCGGTGCAGCCGCAAAATGCATTGCCTTGATGCACAACTTTTGTGCTCGTTGTTTGTTAGTTAATTTCGTTGGGAACGCTGCAAAAAGTGCCACCGTAATAGGCAGGGGAACGATAGTGATATGCGTATCAAAAATGCGCTATCGTTGGCCCCCCATGTGTGTAACTTGTTGACTTTTTCGTATTTACATCTGAGTTCTGACGAAGCATAGGTACTCTCGATTAAAATCTTAATCAAAGAAAAAAAGATAAGATTAATTACATGAAATTTCATTTACCTGGTGATTACTTACGATTCATTCAATCATAACGTTGCTCTTTGCTCCTACTATATTGGACTGTGTTGGTTACTATAAATAACTCTGACCTTCGCTGTGTATTAGTGTAAAAATGTTGTTTGTGATGAGTATACGTGAAGTGCTCATCGGGTTGTTGTTTGTAAACCAATATGTGGACGGTGAGAAAATTTTAGGCATTTTTGCCCACAAGGGTAAAAGCCATTTTGATTCTTTCGTACCGCTTATGAAGGCATTAGCTCTGAAAGGACACGATGTAACGGTTATTAGTCATTTTCCTCAAAAAACTCGTGTGGCGAACTTTAGTGACATTGATATTAACCCGGGAAACATTTTCCTTGATGTAATTAACTTGGGAGATATACCGGAAAATTACCGTGTGCGGCGATACGCAACCCCTTTACTACTGCTAAATCTGGGATACGAATCGTGTAAACAAGTGTTTTCCAATAAAAATTTTATAAGTTTTTTTAACAGTGCGCCTAAATTTGATTTAATAATAACGGAGTTGTTCAATACGAAGTGCTTCTTGGGTGCATTGCGTCAACTAAATGCCCCAATTATTGGTATGTCCTCCACCGTCCCACTATCATGGGACGATTTTACAGTGGGCTTTCCTAGCAATCCAGCCTACATCCCAAATAACTTTATGTCATTCAATGATAAGATGACCTTTTTACAAAGAACAGAAAATACGATCGCCTACCTGCTTACCGGTGCCATCAATCACCTGCACATGGCGATTTCTGGATACTTATTGGCGAATGTGGTTAGCGAAAGTCCACATGATCTCAACGAAATTGCTTCAAATATCAGTCTGATGCTGGTCAATGCCCATTTCAGTGTGCAGCTTCCACGGCCTTTACCTCCAAACTATATTGAAGTAGGAGGGCTACATCTGACACAACCGAAAATACCCCCATCGGTAAGTACATTAATAGTTCAGTACAGGAGAGAGGATGTGGTACAAATGATGGTTTTTAACGTTAACATCAAAATAGCTGTTATCCAATTTGGTAATTTTACTGGTTTAATTATTCACATGTACCGGAAAATACTAATTACAATCATAAATAAATAAGTAAAGAGTATACCTTTGTCGGTCTACTTTTCGGTTAAATTTAAGGTATTAGTGCATATAAATGGACCCAATACTAATTCACACAAGGTAAATAGTAGTAAAACGTATTCCCAAAAGGGAATGAATTTACTTTCCATTATAATATTTAATCAAATTTTATATATAGTTAAGCACTTGCTTGACTAACGCCGCTTTTTCCATTTAAAACTCCAGAGGAAACAAACGACACGTCCTTCCCTTGTGCTGACATTGACAGATTACGTTTTTTAATTGTTTGTCTTTTAAGTGATGTAAAGGGAAGCGTGAGTTTTTGAGAAACATCGGAACTTTTAATAAAAATTTAATAATGGATGATAAATTATTAACAAAGTATTTTATTATGTAAATATTATAATTGTTTATTAAAGCACGCTGATCCCTTTTAAAGACTTTAAGGAATGTGATTAATGTTGCAGGATTTCGGCTTGTATACTCTGAACGAACAAAACGTTTAAATTCCCGTGAGATTGTCTCATTTTCTGATAGTTTGCTGAAGTTTCGTCAAGATTTAGGTCCCTAAACTTCTGCGGTTTGTCTTGTAAACAACAGGTTAATTTTAACTGCGCCTAAATTTAGAAAACGCAACCCTTTGAATATTAACGGTATACAAAACTTCTGCCCGAATAGCTTGTGTGCGTCAATTACGTGGAAAGTTACTTTAGATGCGGTAAAACAAAGCCATTAGGTTCTACTGACTCAACCCCTATTAGTTTTTAAATTTTTACAAATCGTTTATAAATAATAGGTTAACCCGTTTGAGAGTAAACTCAACTTATTTTACAAGTAGGAATATTAAGGATAGGGTTCCAACCGCATAATTCCCCAAAACATTGCATGGAGAGATCAAAAGGCGTTCGGGAACCGTGTTAGTGGCGAAAATTCTGCCTTTACCATTAGTTGAATTAAAAAAATTTCAGTGTAAACGGCTTCGTAGGTGATAATCTCTATTATTTCCTGGCTCATCTTTCAATCGTCAAATTTGTTCAGTAAATGCTTTCTGTGTCTGGCCTCTAGAAAATAAAATCTTTTATGCCTAAAAGATTATTAGTTAATAATTGACAAAATAGATGTTACGGTAAAATGTTAGGTAAATGTAGAATCATAACCATATTATGCAGTTTACTTCAAGATACCTGTTTCTATTTTCCACCAGTTGAAGCTGCAGTTTTAAATTGAAATGTGGGTACTGTTTAAAAATCACTTGAAAGTATTTTTAAATATCTATCTACCCTTATAAATATATAAGTAATTCATTATTTTTTTGTAAAAAGATGCTTACGGATTTCTACGGACCTCTGAAAATTTCGGAAGTAGGTATATACTGTATTTTACGAGGGGTTAATCTGCCTCAAAAATCGCATACACCAGAATTCCCAAACAACAGATTTCCCGGGAATTCCCAAGGACTTCACCTGAATTCCCAGAGACTTCCTGAGAATTTCTCATAATTCCTAAAGACTTCACCCACCTTAAAGTCCTTTTTAGTTAATGCTGAATATTATATTAATGAATTCTTTACATAATGTGGCGTTGTCGCAGACCTTACATTATAACTGCATACTGTAACTATATATTCTATAAATGTTATAATTGTAGTATTTGTTTGTACCATTTTATTATTTTACATTGTATTGTAACTGTTGACATATTTTCCATGTATATGTCGCAGGGAAATGATGAAAATGGAGATTTGATCAAATCCCTAAGGATGATGTTAAAACTTTGGTTAGGTGATTTCCCTAAACAAAGTAAGTGATTTGATCAAATCCCTAACTGTTTTAGTGAAATGACGCAATAAGCGAGTACCTAATACCACAATGGCCATTAAAACGCAATCATTTTTTTCGAAACAAATATTAACAAAAGAAATAGATATTTAGCAAATTTGATGTTTTTAAAAGAAAAGAGGATCGTTTTAGTGATATTTGAATCATTTTTATTAAATCTAAATTAATAATAATATTTTTATTTTTTATTTTGAATCTCGTTTTGAATTATTTTTATTAAAACACGTTGTTGATTTGTGGCATCTGGAGTTACACAATAAGTTTTTTTACAAACACATCTTTTTGTTTTACATTGTATTTTGGATTGTTCGCAGGAACACTTTTTAAACCTTTGACCTCCAAATAAGGATAATTTTCCTGCAATCTCACGTTAGGAAGATGAATAACAAGAACTCGTGAAATTCACGTTTAAAGAGTGATGTTATACTGTTAACGTGCGTCAAAAGGCACTATAGTGTATACGATTTAAATATAGCCATCAAAATGTTGGTTAAATGTTACAGCAATGTTACTCAGCCACGAACTCTAATGCGCACAAACGCATCTCTCCTCTGAGGAGTGAGTAAGATGAATGCCTCTTTCTAAAGGTAGAGAAGCTATTTTGAATACCATCATGCGACGATCGTTATGCACAGATAAACGCACTTTTCGAACGACGAATGGTATAACACTCACTGGACACTTTTCTGTTACTGCACGTACGCAATTATATTACAGGCGCAGTACTTTCGTGGAGGTGAATTTTTCCCACCCCTTCCTGTCAATGGAGGAACTATTCTGAAAATCGCGGTTCACGTACATGCATCACCTGTTAACCCCAAAAAGAGATTAATGGTACTTTTTCAATACCTTGTCCTCGTCTCGCGGTTCCATTAAAGAGGGCAGTTTAAAAGCGGATGATTGGAAACGTAGCCCCCCACTCTGCCCCCAACGTTATGTTACCGATTTGTAATACAATTGGAAGGCTGAGGGTAGGATAAATCCTAGTTTACCATTTATATGATTTTTTCAGAGGCAGACTGGTGCTTTCTTATAATTGATTGATTGACCGCAACCCTTGTGTTAAGATTTCATGAGCAGGAGTAACAATTAGATGCTGGCAACTTTTGAATGTTAGTAATTGAGGGTGAATTTTTTCACTCCTAGTGGAACTCGCCGCTTCTTATACGTCGAAGAGCTATTCTGGATGGTAGGTATAGTTTACATTCCCAGCCATCATTTTAATGAGGGGGAGCCAAAGTGCAATGAATTATGCATTTTGTTGGTCATTTCGTTAGATGAAATTTTGGCCGACGTAAGTAGGAAAGAACAATGTCGATAAGTAGAGAAATTATTTTACAAATCATAGTTTACGCGTACCAACTACTAGTAATTTTACACAGACAAGATTATCTTCTAGACGCTTATAGTCCAGCAGCCACAGTCTTTGTTTTTTTCAGTGATTAATAACAGGATGAATCTTCGTGAGTAAGTTGCCTTATGATCTGCGTAGGACTTGGAAAAGCAGCTGATTTTTTGTATGGAGCTTAGTAAATATTTGTATAATAAAATGGTCATATAGTCCTACAAATTTAGTCCTACGCTTGGTAGTTTTTAAGACCTGCGCAGATCATTAGCTACCTCCATCGAGAATTTTCACAGAGAAAAAACTGGTCGGCCCAACCTACTCATGAAGATTTAGCCTGTTAATAATCACTGAAATAAACAAAGGCGGTGGCTACTGGACTATTAATTAATGCCGAGGTTAATTTTCCTACATCCACAGAAACTTTCCTCAAAGTTGGAGAAATTATTGTATTGCTTCACTGTTTAATAGCTCCGTCACGATATTAAAATCAGGACACGCGCAATATGAATGATATTTTTATTTTCAGTTCTCAACGATACGATTATCGCCATGCTCAAAATAAAAACAACCTTATATAATTTGCAGCATGGTGATCATTCTGTTCAGATAAGCCCAATAACCACCATGCTGAAAATGCGAAAAATGTTTTGTAAATCGCATTTTCGTACTTCCGAGACTAAAGTGACAACTTCACTCCATTATTTATTATTATTCATGCGGGAAAATTTACTTACCGAACTTGTTAGGTAAATAACTATGACGGTACCCTCATAGGAGCCCCCACTACGACCTAATGCCACAAATTTTTGCCTCTTAAACCGTTTTGTGTATAAACTCAACCGTATTTGATAGCTGGGTATACCGCTGTAATTGTCTATAAATCGTGCAAAAGTACTAATTATGCAATGATTCGAAGAAAGTAGCGTTGTTAACCGCTTTAGGATACGTTTTTTCCTCCCTTGTAGGTTCTAGGGTTCGTCTCCTAGAATCAAAGACTATTAACACCTAGTGCATGGAATAAGAACGATTTTCTGATCATTTAAAATAAACCCTAATCGTTTTAAGTAAGGTTACTGTTTTTTCAATGTTACTTCTACAGATTCAGATTCCCCTAGAATGGGGAATCTAGATAGTTGGTACAAGTTACGCCACTGCTCCGAAGGTACTCAAGAACTTGTAATGGTGAATGTTTTAAATTTAACATAAACCGTTTTTCACCATTCGCTTTATCGATTTAAAAAACTGAAGCGAAAAATTGATCTTGGCTGGATCACAAGCTGGTTCCCTTGAACTGTAGCTTGACAATTTCTTTTTGTAACAAGCCAAACTCTTTCCCAAAGGGTTGCCGAAACGTACGGGATGATAACTGAGTAGGTAATTTAGTACATCCCTTTATCCAATTCATGATTATATAATTGGAGGTAATCTTGCTCTAATGTTCATCAAAATCTTGCAAACGTCCAGCACTTACCGGAGTTACTTTTTTCAATGTGTGTCTATTCGGCTGCGGTTTCGGTAGCGAATTCGTATATGATTGCTCCTTCACGAATCCCCCCGATTCGAGCGATATTTTTTAATCTATTTTGTGGTCCTCGCTCACTCGTTGAGCCTGCGGGTAGGTTTTTTCGTGTGACGTGTCTTTCGGCGCCTTGGGGCGACAGGCATATGAAGAGCTTTTTAAAGCTTTGCGTTTGTCAAAATCTTAATAGACTTTATTTCTCTACTAGGTCATTACCAAGCAACCATTCCGTCGGCAACCATTTATCCGCCACCTCTTTCAGGAAGAAGGCAGTTTTGGGACGTAGAAGGCTTGCGAAATAAGCTTGCCAAGATTTTTCTTGCGTCGCACACAGTTTCCATAGGGAAGGTTGGCCTCGTCTTTTGGGTAATTCACTCGGTAATTGTGAAGAACTTCTTCAGGAAGGTCTATATTGTTGTCAATAGACAGGCAGTCATTTTCTGAGGTACAATCGGAGAGCCTACGACTGTTGCTAGCTACGTCCGCATTTTGTTGTGAGGATTCGATCCTCCTTACGGATTCTCGTGAAATATCGTATCTGCCTCTGTTCCCAAGTGGGGAGCACGTGAGCTTGACCTACGGTACTGGCGTGATCGGGAACGCCCCTCCCAATAACCGCTTTTTTTTGTCTATAATTAATCGCTTACTAGAGTGTTTCTTATCGGTATCCGAAAGGTCGAAAGACGATTTTCTATAGCGCGTTCGCACCTCCAGATGCAGTATGGGGTCTTATGGACTAACTGCCTCTCTTACTAGTTTGCCATATAATAATAATGTGTCATTTATTTTGAAATATCTTTTTAAATAACGATTTTGCAAAATTTCGTTTTTTTCAGGATCTCCGAAAGTAGTCGGAATTTTTTCAGTTTCAAAACGACATTGCCAGATTTAAACTATTTACCTATCTCTTACAGTTTCCCAGATCCTCATGGTGGCCCTCGAATTTGAATCAGCCTTTTAATTTACAGTATTTACAGCGCCGTAGTACATTTCCTGCTTTTCGTAAAGCTGCGTAGGTATACATTATCCAAACCGAACCGAAACTATTATTATGGTCCCTTTTTTCCTTCTACAAGATGCTCGTTTTAAACTTTAAGTCTGACGTTTCCTGTAAAGGAACGGACCCCCAAATATAATTAGCAATAATATCTACGTCTGATGATCTAATTCTGCCTGGGAAATTAGCAATAGAATCTCTACCTTCTTTGAATAATATGAGATTCCAATTTTGTGGTTAAACGTGTTACATATTCTGACTATTGAGAATGAACCGTCGATGTCTAATTTAAACTTTAATTAATTTCTATTACTGGTCTTAAGAATTCCTAATTTAGTAGTAGACGCCTGAGCGCAAGGAACAATTTATATTTATAATAACGAAAGTTCACTATAATCTAATTTTTTATTTATCCTTACACACAATATTCGATAATCTCATAATTTAGAATTTAGCTTCCGAATTTTTAAGAATTTCAATATGCAAATATTCTAATTGTCCACTGCAGTACAAATTAGGGTTGAAGTTGATTAACAAATAGCGAAATTCTAAAATTAGAATTTTTCGATATAGATATTGATCCGCTTGTACTGGACCGGTGGCGAAAAATATAAATTCCATAACATTAACCACCATCTCCCCAACTATAGGCACAACTGGAAATATTGATTTTAACCCTCTCTTCTCAACCTATAAATCTGATAAAACTTTAAAGTTTTAAAAAGATCGTATCAACCCAAACGTCACTTGCGCAAAATTTGTGGAGGGTCATTAAAAAAAATTCGAGAGGGTTTGGCCGCACTTCTTCGCAAGTGCAGCGTTAATAGTGCCAGCTTCATTTTTAATCTTATCACGCACGTCAGCAAACAAATGCAACGAATGGCATTAGGGTTTACAAACACCCGACTAAATAACTAATCTAAATCCTGCATGATAATTTTCTACGTATAGAAAATTACATCTCCTTGTATAAAATTCCTGCCGCAATTTGGATGGGATTGAGATTTCTTATGAATTAAATCAAATTTCGTGGTTTGATGAATTGCTTCATTACTTGCTGATGAAATTAGTGTTAAATAATTGAATAGAATGTTGCATTGTGAACTCGATTGTAAATTAGATTGTTTGGAAGTGTTCATTTATTTGTGGGCGCAATATCGTCAATATTCAATGGTGATGCATGCAAATTGTCAATGACTGTAGGTACACGAATGCTCATATATTTATTATGCATGTCATATATTCATTTCCCGTATTGTTCATTTTTGTTATATTTACCTCATCATAACAATGGATTCTTTATTAAAGATTTTTTTTTCGTCTAATGATTACAGTTTCCCATAGTTTGAAGCTGGGTTTGAAGTAACATCGGTACCGGACGACAACAAGTTGGAGTTAATTGTTTGCAATTTTCATTTGCATTTTGTAAGGAGAAACATTATTTAGGAGAATATTGCGTTTCTAAAACTGTGTGGCGGTTTCAGGACGGGATTTGACCTGACTCTGCCACTAGGAGTCGGCCCCTGGGTCGAAACTTGCTCGCTTTAATTTGTTACTAATCCATATATTTATCTGTGTACTTTCTGAATTATAATTTTTTTTTGGTATGAAGTTTTCCATTTTGCCGGTGAGGTAATTTTCAGGGAAGTAATGAGAAAAACAGGCAAATCGTATTATAGTTTCTTTAATGGCGATCGATTTCGAGCTTGACATTATAGCCCATCATCAGGCCTGATGATGAAATATTTACTCGACTCAAAATGGATAGAAAAATACGTAAAAAGACGGATTTATTTTTACAATGACATGTTTTCAAAAACACCTTTATTTCACTGCCTTCTTTTTCTAATTTATCAATTTTATACATAAAATTACAATACAGGTATAATTTTGCTGGACCATAGGAGCATGGACGTTGTTGTTTTTGTGCAAAAAAAACCACTTTGCTCTATTTATGATATGTAACATGCCTTTCTTTAATCTTGTTCTGCTACCCTTAGCTAACAAACATCATTATCGTGCCGTAAACAATTTGCACATAATGCCTCCGGTTCGTCGTCTGTCAAGTTCAACATTCATGTGCTTCTCATGTTCAGTTTGCATCAGATTAGAGTTTCAATGACACAAGATAACACAAAAAATTTCGATAAATCAATTATACATGACCCGCTTGCTTCAGTATCTCAACAACGCGTCAACATGTGGTTGCACACCGTGATTGTTCTCGCAATACTGGCGCATGTTAACGGCTACAAAATATTGGCCCTGTTTCTCTATACTGGAAAAAGCCATTTTGATACCTTCCGACCGTTGCTGCAAGAATTGCATGCGAAGGGTCACCAACTTACCGTACTCACTCATTTTCCTTTCGGAAATAGTAGTACAAATATCACGAACATTCCCTTGAGAGACCCATTGGAGCTTCCTTCAGTTGGGGTAATCGATTTGGAGCTGTTTCTCAATTACCCTGTTCTTCGGGATACGTTACCGGTATTGGTGCCCATACATGCAATGTATTTGTGTGAACAAGTGCAGACGCAAACCAAAGTTAGGGAGTTTATAAGCAGTGAGCAAAGCTATGACTTAGTGATTGCTGAATTTTTCGCCGATTACTGCCTCATGGGTTTAGCAGAAAAATTTAAGGCACCATTGGTAGGCGTCAGTTCGTGCGTGCCCTACTCCTATTTAGACAAATACATCGGTTACCAAAATACGCCGAGTTACATACCGATTACATTTTCATCCTTTTCGGATCAAATGAACTTTTTGGAAAGGGTACAGAATTCAGTGTATTATGTTTTCACGCATGTTTTCTTTAACGTGCTCGTCCCATTGTACTACAATCGATTAACACGGAATAACATCGGAAGGAACCTATCTTCAGTTGAAGAAATTCACTTGAATACCAGCATCATGCTTGTGAATAGTCATTTCAGTTTGACACGGGCGCGACCGTTACCTCCTGGATTTATTGAAGTGGCTGGTTTGCATATTACAAAGTGGAAAAGACCGCCAATAGTAAGTGTACGCTATCCTATTTTAGATTAGAGGATTATCCGCTTTTCAAAATTGACAAAGTCTTATAAATAAATCGCTAATTATCACAGTATTGAACAAAAAAGTGGCCTCAAAAACCATAGTACATTTTTAACGAAAAAAGTTTAACAATTATATAAAAAATAATTCGCCGTTATCAGTTTCATTAACAAAGTAAACAGAGTCGTCCCCTTGGTCGACAAATTCCTCAGACCCGCAAATCCCGCGGGATCCCGCTCCATTTATGTGCGGGATTAATCTCGCAAAAATGCTGCGGGATCCCGGTATTTCGGGATCCCGCAATCCCGGTATTGCATTCCCTAGTTTTTAGTCTATAACTTTTTATTGAGAAGTCTGATCGAAAAAGTACGATTCGTTTTGGATTCTACGCACCAAAATTAATAAGAAAAAGTGTTTTCCCGAGAAATTTTGGTGCAGTCGATTTTTGGTAAAAAACGAAGGTTATACACATCTTTCGAAATTGGTTTCTAGTAGGGAATGCAATCCCGCAGCAAAATCTCAATCCCGCGGGATTCTAAACCACGTAATCTTTATCTAGATAGAAAATATTTTCATCTTTATAGAAAAAATTGAAAAAAATTATAATTTTTATAGAACACGAGCATATATTCTAAGGTGCGAACTTAAATAATTATAAACAGTGGTATTTTGTTACATGACTGGAGGTTTGTGGCTTTACATGCACAACAGACGTATCTTACACTTATACGTAACAATGGAGAGATACTCGCTCTGCCCCTCACTTACCGTTTGCCGCTCAAATCCTGTAGGCTCGCGTAGTCTAGGCAAGCAGAAGATTAAATTACTGTTTTTCATAGAGTACAGTCATTTACCCAAGTCAAGATCGACAAAATCTTCTTGGTTCGTTTAAACCCTAAACATTACAACAAAGTTTGTACACAGACTTCATTTTTTGAAAAATAAATTTTAAACTTATTCGTTTTTTATATGCTCAACTTGTGTTATTGTTCAAATTTGTACGTGAGTATGTGCAAGTACATGTTGATGTATTACCATGCAATTTTGAAGATCTAAGGATCGAGTTTTTGTGTAATTATTCAAATATTTCCGTTTTTAGTTCTCAGGTCTAATGCTGAAAATAACCAACTACTTGAATGCGTCTTAACTGAACAAGTATCGGTTAATCACTATCCATTATAACCTTCATTTCTATATCTTTGCCATTTTTTTTTACTGTTGACAGCTAGTAGTTAATATTTCCCGGTTATGGAGTTGTTATCAGTTATCATTCATTCATACCTAAGTGTCACAAAAAGATTGCATATAATTCCTCCGGTTCGTCGCCTAGTTCAACGTTCGTTCGTGTCTCATCCACTCTCATGTTGAATTTGCTTCAGATTAGAGTTATAATGACCCAAGATAACATGGAAAATTTCGATAAACGTATTAAACTTGGCCCGCTTGCCTCAGTATTTCAACATCGCGTCAACATGCGGGTACAAACCGTGCTCGTTCTCGCACTTGTGTCGCTTGTTAACGGCTACAAAATATTAGCCCTGTTTCCCTACACTGGAAAAAGCCATTTTGATACCTTCCGCCCGTTACTGCAAGAATTGCACGCGAAGGGTCACCAACTTACCGTACTCACTCATTTTCCTTTCGGAAATAGTACTTCTAATATCACCAGTATTCCCTTGAGGAACCCATTCAATCTTCCTTCAACAGGGGTGGTCGATTTGGAGCTGCTTCTCAATTACCCTGTTCTTCAGGGTACGCTACCGGTAGCGTTGGTAATATATGCAATGTATTTATGTGAACAAGTGCAGACGCAAACCAAAGTCAGGGAGTTCATAAACAGTGAGCAAAGCTATGACTTAGTGATTGCGGAATTTTTCGTCGATTACTGCCTCATGGGGTTGGCAGAAAAATTTAGGGCGCCATTGGTGGGCGTCAGTTCGAGTATGCCGTTGCCCTATTTAGACAAATACATCGGTTACCAAAATACGCCGAGTTACATACCGAATATGTTTTTACCCTTTTCGAATCAAATGAGCTTTATGGAAAGGGTACATAATTCAGTGCATTACGTTTTCACCCATGCTTTCTATAACGTACTCACCCCATTGTATTACAATCGATTAACACGGAATAACATCGGGAGGAACCTATCATCAGTTGAAGAAATTCACTCGAATACCAGCATCATGCTTGTGAATACCCATTTTAGTTTGACATGGCCGCGACCACTGCCTCCTGGATTTATTGAAGTATCTGGTTTGCATATTACAAAGTGGAAGAGACCACCAATGGTAAGTGTATCCTAACCGATCTGATTTTTCAAAATTGAGAAAGTCTCTTGTTCAAAATGTTATCGCATTCGACATGGCGAATGTTGATGTCCCCTTGAGTAGTTTTCAAAACTGATCCGTGCGAAATACCTGGAATAACTGAATAAGTTGGAAAACGCAAATACATGTTTGATACTGTATCTAGTTCTACCCGGTCCAAATATCGCATGGGGTCGATTGATTAGGAACAGTATATTCTTAGCGCACTTTCCAACTCATGTTAGAAGGCTACTTTCTCCGTCCGTCTGTCCTTCTGTCCGAGGCCTTAACTGCTCCAACAGTTTTCCAGATATTTAGTTCGTTCTTTTTGCATTCGGTAGCTTATAATACCTCTGGCGCCTCAACCAAGAAAAATCTTGACGATTAATTTGCGCAATGTCAACGAGACACTTTCTTGAAATTTCAACCAAAGATTCCTCTACCTATTAGAGGCAAACATATCGCATATATTTTAAACATCAGGTGTGCACATGCATAGACTGCGCAATGCTAAAGTTCTTATTTATAAGAATGTTTATGCCTTATCTACCTTATTTTCCTTTGTATGTTAAATCACCTTTCGGGAAGTACTGATCAATTACCACCGTACAGATACAAACCCTATTTTCAGCTCGTATTTTAAGCACATAAAACGAAATTTCGATTGGTCTATTCTGAAGTATTAATGTACAGGTATCCCCCCTTAATTTCTTAATTATCTATACAGGGTGTAAACGGAACTAGAGAACGCGATTTTTCTCGGATGATAGAGATACAAACAAATCTTTCAAATACAACTTTTAATGTTTCGAGTAACCCTACATAAATGAATGTAAATCAGGAAAAAAAACGTAAATTTTCAGAGATATTCCTATTTTTTACTTTTTTTTAATGGTACGCCGTGTATATTTTTATACTATTTGGTAGGAACTAATTTTTTCTTAAAAAAAGTTTTAATAAGTTATACCTTCGAGAATTCGAGATATCAAAGAAAGTATTAAAATAATTTTACTGGAAATTAATGCTGGCTAGGAAACAAAATTTGACATTTGTATTAGTTTATTGTTATAACATTGTGAAAAAGTTTATTGAATTGATAACTTAGATTATTATTTGTTGTAAAAATGGAAGGATACTCAATTAACGAGAAGTTTCCATTTATCGAACAATAATTTAAGACATAAACCCTGCGATTATACCGGCAACAATATCCTGTTCACTTTCATCCAAATCAAACATACTTTTTCAAAAGCTACGTAGCCCTGGTTCCCTGACTATTGCAAATTGCGTCAAATAAATGAAAATTTGGAAGTGGATATATTAGCTTATTTTAATGCGGAATTGTTAATAATATTATTCTGGGTGCATATTTTTATGAGGGTACTTTAATTTTTTACAAAATGAACTAAGGAATTTTTTGATGATTGAACAAACTATTTAAATTTCCAAATGCTTGGATTGGAACAAGAGTCCTTAGATTTTCTTGTGTGGGATGCCATCAAAAACAAAGTTTATGTTACGCGCATTACTACACTTGAAGAATTACAACATAGAATAACACAAGCCGTGAACGAGTTACATAATCAAATTAATAATACTGTAAATCAACATTTGTTAAAAAGGCTCACATTTTGTATACGAGAAAACGGTGAAAATTTTGAACAATTTTTATAGTGTTATCAGTATGACAATAATTTGACGTACATTTGTAATTTAAAATGTTTTGTAACAATAATTTCGTTTTAATAGCCAGCTTTTATTTTCGAGTAAAGGTATTTTAATATTTTTTTTAATATCTCGAATTCTATTAAGTTTATGAGGTATAACTTATGACACTTTTTTTAAAGCAAAAACTATTTTCTCTGAAATAGTATCAAAATATACTTAACAGTGCGTACCATTTAAAAAAAGTCAATAACTTCGGAGAAAAATCGCGTTCCTTAATTCCGTTTACACCCTGTATACTGTGGTTGACGATATATTGTATACTGTATGTACTTATGTATCACTATCATAATACATAATAATATTTACCTATAAGTACAGAGCGACCATTTATCATCCTCATCCTCGAAATAACTTTTGTCTAATAAGTTGTTGTTTCGTAGTGCAATAATTTACACGTTTTTCAAAATCGGGACGATGAATTTCTTGTAGCACGGTTATTTTATACGGGTAGAAATGCAACTTTTTCCTCGTTATTTTCTGACAGGTTTCGTAAGACAAACCAGTTTGTTGGGATCGCTGTCGCAGTAGCTTTTGCGGGCTTGGTTCAGCACATCTACTACCGCTTCTTTAGCAACTATTGGACAACCGGGGGATTTTCCCCAAGCAACACTCCCTGTATCGTCAAAACGAGTTCATGACGAAGTTCATGATGTATTACTAAAGAGAAGAGGATTATTTAGCAAGTACCAGAGACTTTCTAATAGTATGTACCCATAGTTGAAGATTAAAGGGATTTTAAGAGTTTTAGAATGATCTCGAGAAAAGGTTTCTGTGGATGTTTGTTTTCTACAATGTTTCTGAGAATATCTCAAAATTGGTAATAACCTTTTCGAGATCAGTCTCGACTTCAACAGGATACTATCTAATCCGATTTTCAAATAGATCTCTACTAAAATTCGTAGCAAGACATAAGAAGGTTTGAGAAGCTTTGCGAAGGATGTAAGAGGACCAAATGCCAATTGTTAGAATAGTACA